CTATTATATCTGAAATAAAAAATTATCTATATTTTATAGTACACACTATAATCACGTATCTTTCTTTATATTTGATTGTTATGCACATATACTTTAAACTAAGATAATAATAATATATATATATATATATATATATATATTTAGTTTATACGTAAACTTAATATAAATATATCATGGCGTTTTTGTTTTTTGTTTTCACAGAATTGATATAAATTAAATTTCGAAAATATTAAAAATTTCGAAACTCGCAGCCGCCGAAGATACTACATAAATATATAATATATAACATATTGCGTATACGTGGACGGGTCATCAAAATTCGGCATGTGTGTATATTATACACAAGAATAATCTATTACTGCAGCCTCGACTTAATAGCAGTTTTCTCCACACGTTATAATCCTGTATCTTTGTCACCATCTCTATTAGATATATGCATTAAAACAGGCTATGATCATGGTGCGTCCAAGTGGCAGAGAGTGGCTACTACGAAAAGAGCAAAAACGCAGCAGTAGATATAAGCATATAGGCTTTATTTTATTGTCGAATTTGAATATTCAAATGCATATTTTATGATATTGCAGACGACGCTACATAATGCATCAGTCGGACACCCGTATAAGCCGTATAATGATTCCGGATTTCGATTTTGAATAGTGGTATTTCTGGATTTCGTAGTTGTAAAGCAATTATGAAATTCAAAAAAATAATTTGAGTGTCACACCAACACGCGCCTACCCGTTATACATGCAGTCGCGGTAGTACGAAACTACAAAATGTTAAACTCTAAAGTTACACAATGCAGACGGATTTATATAGGCGTATAGTGCGTACTATATTATAATATTTTAATAACGTGTGTACGCACCTATAATTTATTGTTGGTRTATAAAATAAAATAACGATCATAAAAAAAATTAAAAAAAAAAAAATACAGGTCGAAGAACGTCGAAAATGGCCTAGTATTTACTGTTTACATCACCACACGGTCGCGCGTGATTTATACACGACAAACACGTCTGAAACAACAACTTTGACGAAAACTGCCTATCGATTTACATCACATGCACATAATAATGATAATATACCATACGATTATAGTGGTGACCGCCGACCGAACTAAAACACACAATTTCCAACGAAAATGACAATTAATTTACATCATACGCRTGCAAGTAAAGCAATCGATACGAAATCTATATACGATTAATGAACAATACACGTTGCGCGTAAACATCACCATTAAATCATTATGATGATGATGACTATGGGTGCAGTTAAATCATCTTCTATGATGTTGGCTATATACCATGATATTAGTTCTAAGATTTCTAATATTTGTTAGGTTTCCTCAAATCGTATATACACAATTCGTCAATAATTTGTGTGTTTGAAATATGGTGTATGATGTAGTATCAGCATGTAAAAGAATATTATCATAATATACCTATATATATATCTATGCAAATTATGTGTCGACAAAATATTATTTAAATATGAAATGTCACGAATAATGTATATTATTACCGGCCCGCTTATATTGTGTTTTAGCCGCATTACAATATTCACTTTCATCCCATAATGCCTACGTTATCTTTCAAAACCGCACAACAGTATGCTCGCGCGTGCTAATCGAAACATTTCACGTTTCTATAAAACTGTTTTGTAAAATATAACAACGGTTTTTACACAAATCCTCTCGATAAATCGTCTGTTGGCATTCAAAAATCAGAAACAATAGCAGAAACCTATACGGGGCCGTAATTAGATTTAATAATTAATATAAATATTTGTGACTTGTGGGGGGATGTGGGGTCTWGGTTAAAGAAACCGATGACTTAAACTAATAAATGCAAACTGGAGAAAATTTGTTCTCGTAATGTTCTAAATATATTTTGTAATAACGTTCACTATAATTTTCATATGAGGTGATTATAATCTCAATTTTTGATTTTAAAATGATTTACAAATCAACACATCATAACAAATATTATGATAGTTACTGTTACTATAGATAGATAAAAAAAAATGTAGGCATTGGATCATTTAATTCTTTAATAGATATTATTTTATCTAACCAAGTCAACCTTAATAAATAATTTAACTATTTTATTAATTGGTTTGATGTTATTATAAAATAATTATTATAATAAAATAAATCAATTACTTTAAATAGAAATACCTACTAATACATTATATATGTATTTAATGTATTAATAATTTMATTTGAATAAGAATTTATTATACTAACGTGTTAAATTTTTTTTTAACAAGTTATCAGGGTAATTACTTTATATAGGGATTTTTGTWTTAGAAAGTTCSTCATTTCAGTTTGGTTCAAATATACAAATTAGAGAATTATACCAAACTATATGCCACACAATTCAATCACTTAAGTATATTTTAATAAAAATCTTAGATTCATTATTCATATATTTTTTATTTATTTATGATATGTATTGCTGTTTATTTAGGACAGTTATTTCAATCACACGTATCATACGGGTAATTGCATACGCGCGCAAAACATTGTTTAAGTTTATACGTGCCACTCCGTCGATGAAAAGTATATAGAGTTGTTAAAATATGGTATTTTATGTTTGTATTATATTATATATGTATTATACGATAYTATATGGTATAAAACCATGTAATATACTATAGTATCTACTATCTTAAATTATCAACAATTTTATTGAATGCTGGTAATATTACTATAATTATTATAATGACCTACTTTAAAATGCCTTAAAAATTTCAGAAAAAACATGTAAAAACAACCAACAACAATAATCCAAGAATTTATTACTCTAAAGTCTAAATTAACAATATCAATCCTGATATACCTAGTGACGAGCAATGAATTGAATTTAAATTAATATAGTTACAATTCACAGTRAATTATATTCTTAAATAGGTACCTATCAAATAAATTTTCTTATAATATCAACGAATATTTTTTTTTTAATATCACCTGTAGAAAAAAAATTGATACCATGTATATAAAACATCTCAAATATAACAATATTATAAAGATACACARTGATACTTCCATATGACAAACTTCCCATTAACGAAATTTTCTGTTTAACGAGTTATATTTGAAAACCACGACCTTCATTGTTACAAATATGTTATTCTATTTAACAAATTCTTCTATCATATGATTTTTTTTT